TTGTACAGTCTGTCTTATTACCAAGAGTGGGTTGTTAAAGTCTCCTACAATTATTGTACTGCGGTTTACTTCTTCCTTTAGATCTGTTAATGTTTGCTTTATATACTTTGGAAGCTCTGGTATTGGGTGCATAGGTATTTATAATTGTTATATCCTTTTACTGAATTGACCCTTTATCATTATGTGATGACCATTTTTGTTTCTTTTCACAGTTTTTGATTTGAAGTCTATTTTTTCTGATATAAGTATAACTACTGCTCCCTTCCAGCTTCTGGTTGCATGGATTATCATTTTCCACCCTTTCACTTTCAGTCTCTGTGTCTTTACAGGTTTTCTTATAGGCAGCACATGGTTGAGTCTTGTTTCTTTATTCATTCAGCCACTATGTCTTTTAATTAGGAACTGAATCCACTTACATTCAGGGATAATATTCAGCGTTATTGTTTAGTAAGGGTTTACTATTGACATTTTGTTGCTTGTTTTCTGGTTGCTTTGCAACTCTTCTCTTCCTTTCTTCCTGTCTTTCTTTGTGGTTAAGTGATTTTCTCTGGTAGTATGTTTAATTCATTGCTTTTTATTTTTAGTGAATCTATTATAAGTTTTTACATTGTGGTTACCATGAGGCTTACAAAAACATCTTATAGATATAACCAGTTATTATAAGGACAGGACAACTTATCTTAGATCACAAAGAAAAGAATAGAAGCAAAAAAAATTTTAAAAACCTACACTTTACTCCCTCTCCCATTTTGACTTTTATTTGTCTCGACTTACATATTTTCATATTACCCATTTCTTAACAGTTTGCTGTAGCTATTATTGTTTGGATGTATCTGTCTTTTGGCCTCCATACTAGAGTTATGAGTGGATTGCACACCATAATTACAGTATTAGAGGATCCTGGGTTTGTCTGTGTACTTAATTTTACCAGAAACTTTTATGCCTTCAATTTTTTTTTTTGCACTTTATTTGTTTATTTTTTACTTTCAGATTGAAGAACTTCTCTTAGTACTTCTTGTCTGATGGGTCTGGTAGTAGCGAATTCTCTCAGGTTTTATTTGTCTGGCAAAGACTCTCTCTCCTTCGTATTCGAAGAACAGCTTTGCTGAATGCAGTAATTTTGAGTGACAGTATTTTTTCTTTCAGCACTTTAGAAGTATAATTCCTTTTCCTCCTGGCCTGTAGGATTTCCATTGACAAGTCTGTTGCTAGACACATTGAGGCTCCTTTATATAATATTTGCTTGTTTTCTTTTGTTGTTTTGGGGTCTTCTCTTTGCCCTTGACCTTTGAGAGTTTCATTATATATGCCTTGGTGCAGTCTTACTTAGGCCAGATCTTCCTGGTATTTATTCTCTGACCTTCCAATACATAGACATTTGTCTCTTTCTCAAGTTTTGGGAAGCTTTTTGTTTGTTTGTTTGAGTCAGGCTTTTTGTCTCTCACTCTTGTTGAACTCTCTTTGAATACTAATAATTCTCAGATTTGGCCTTTTGATGTAACTTTTTACATCTTGTAGGTAATCTTTATTGCTTTTCATTCTTTCTTTCTCCTCTGACTGTGTATTTTCAAAAGCCTATTTTCAAGCTCACTCATCTTTCCTTTGCTTGATCCATTCTGTGGTTGAGAGCTTCTAATGAGTTTTTAAGTTCAATGAACATAGTTCCCAGTTCCAAGATTTCTGTTTGGTTTTTAAAATTTTTTTAGTCTCCTTGTTAAGTTTCTCTGATGAGTTTCTGAATTGCTTTTCTGAGTTTTCTTGGAGATCACTGAGTTTCCTTAAAACTACTATTTTGAATTCTTGGTGAAAGAGATAACATCTCACCATCTCGTTAGGGTCAGTCGCTGGTTCCTTGCTTTGTCCATTTGAGGAGATCATGGTTCCCTGTTTGCAGTTGCTTCTTATGGATGTATGTTTATATCTTTGTATGGAAGGATTATTTGTTTCTGTCTTCCCTGGCTGACTTGTTTTGTTTTCTATTGGATATATTTGTTTAGAGATTGTTCACCACTAGGCCACTGACCCATTTTCAACTCTAGGTAGTGCCTTAAGCCCAGGTTTGCCTTGGCACTTAAAAATGATCTAAGCACTGCCCTTCCTGAAAGGGGGATTTTAAAGGTGATACCTCAGCAGTGTGGGAAGACTGACTAGGGATTCATTCCAGAAGACCTGTGGGACAAATCTCCTGCAGTGTGATGCTGTTGTAGGTACTGCCTCCCCCTTTTCTCTGCCTCTCCTCAGGGATGGTTCTCCTTTCAGACACTTGTGATGCTTTCTATGAGTTAAGGTAGAGACAGGTCTCCTGCCAGAGAACCCAAGATGGTGGAGAAGTTGGTTGCTCTTCTCAATCTCACCTTTTGCTGTATAGAAATAGTGAGTTGGAGAACAGTTTTCTGCATACTTGCTGCTGGGCAGAATGAGGGGAAGGACATCATGGATATGAGAGTCCAATTCTCTTACTGTTTTCTTGGAGTTTTTTCACCTCCCTGCAGCCCCCAAAACTGTTTCTTCTTCATCTTTGAGTACTGGATTATTTCCGATGATAATCTTGGCACTGTGTATTTCTTTTTGATTTCCTGTTGGTGGGAAGGGTGGTGGAAGTATGTGAAACTAGCTTGCTTCTATGCTACCATTTTGGAACTGGAAGTCTCAGGCATTCTTAAATATTTCTAAACCTTAGTTTTCTCTTCTGGAGAATGGGGTAATAAATACAGCTGCCTTTAAGGACTTTTGGAAGGACACACTGTATTTAACTCATGGAAAGTTCTTGGCACACTGCCGGGCAAAGAGAAGGAGCTCAAATGTACCAGTTATGATTATTTTCACAATTCTACAGTTGAGTTGGTTTATGTCCAACCCACCTAATAATTTTTGGTAGATAAAATGAGACAACAGATGGGAAAACATTTTTGGAATGTATAAATTGATTTTTTAAAAGTAGTGATTTTTCTAAATCTTAAAAGAAAATCATTTGCAAAGGTTGTTTCATCTGTATGTGGCTAGTGGCTTTGACATGTATCTTTGAACAAGGGTAGAAAGCAGGTAAAGATACAAAGAAAGGTCACCAGGAGGGTGCAGGGTTCTGAGCTGAGAGTTGAAGGAGCAAAAAGAGTCTGCTTTTTCTGAGGAAAAGAGCAGATAAAATCATTTGGGTAGGAAATCCTGGCTAAAGGCAGATTTCAAAGAGCTCTGGGTGGTAGGTGAAGACTTCAGGCTTTAACTAGCAGGCAATGGACATGAAACTAATCATGGTGACACCCAAGTGTCTCTAGCTTCTCCATAGCCCTTTGATCTGCCAAATTATGAGTCTGTTTCTCTGACTATGTGTCTTCACATATTGCACAAAGCTCAGAAGAGTTTCAGGTAGATCTTGAGGGCCTGACACAAAAAGCTGGTGAAGGCCATGAAGGAAGGGAGCCTGTGCCCTGGGAGTGACTCAGCCTGTGCAGGGAAACATTGCCCAGCAGAAGGCTTGGTGCCCAGCCCTCAGCCTTCAGTGACTGACTCTATGTGACGGAGAGTTGGGTTTCCGCCCATTAGAGAGGTGGAGTGGGGTAGGTGGGGGTCCTGCAGGGTGCTTCTAAGGCTCAGGGATGAAATCTGCCCCATAAGATGTGATAGGCCCATGGATCCTCTGCTCAGACCTTGATTACACTCTGAAGACCCACCCTGGTAGAGATACTCACCTGGATTATGAGATTTGTAGGTAGGGGAGGGGAAGTGGGAAGGGATAAAAGTTTGCTAAGAACCATTAATGCTCATAATCATTCTCTGAGGTGCCTGTGGTTTACAAATGAAGACCCTGAGATTGATAAGCTAAGAAACTCCCAACTCCAGCTTCAGACATGGGGAAGGATTATAATGTGATGAGGAGAATGTGTTAGAAGTCAGGCAGAAGTGGGTTTAGATTCCCTTAATACTATCGATTTGGTTGCTTATCTGTAAGTTCCTGGGCAAATAACTTCACCTCTTTGTGCCTTCATTTCACAATTAAAAATAGGAATAGACACACCCTTTATTATAAGAGTGATGTTACAATGATCTGCGGTAGCACAATTAAAGTATATAATGCCATATGTGGGACATGGTAAGAAGTGGATAAGGATTACTGATGATTGTTTCTTTCAGAATTGCATGGTATGGGAGGACTGGAACATAGACAGGGAAGTAAATTCAAGAAAGGTCTCTCTGGGGAAGAGACATTTCAATTGAGATAAGAGGGAGCCAGCATTATGATTATTATGGAATAAGGGATTTATTATAGTTGGAGCAGTAGCTGGACATATTTAAGAAAAAGAAACCCAGCACATCCAGCCACGAAGGTCAGGCCATGAGAGGAGATCGTGGAGAAGGTGTTGGAATACTGCTGCCTCCGTGCAGCCTGCACCTCTCTGGGACTACAGCCATGCCTCTGGAGGTGGGCCTTAGGCAGATGTTGGTCAGCAAGACCTGCCATTAGAGAGACAAACTGGACACAGAACAGAAGAGCATGGGGATGAGCAGAGATGCTCCAGGTACTTCTGTGCCTGCCCATCAGCATATCTGACTACGATGAGCTTTCAAGAATGCTGACTGCTGCTTCACTTCCTACCTTCAAGAGCTTGTGCAAGTTCCTATTTTGGCCAACTTTCTCCCAGAACCATGCAGCAGGGGAATTCTGAGAGCTGCAGTTTCATCTTATCCAGTTGACAGCACAATTATGACCATGCTGGTACATTATTTCTTATGATAGGAAAAACTTGAAGGAGAAGTTTGGGATGTAGAAAAACAGTTCTGTTATGGACATACTTCATTTGATATGTATGTTTAAGATGGCCTCAGTGACCCCTGTGTCCTGCAGTTCATGCCTTTTGTAATTCCCTGTCCTTGACTGTGGGCTGGATTTAATGACTAACTCCTAGCAAGCAGAATTTGGCAGAGGTGATGGAACTTGAGATTAGCTGACACCCATGGCTTCTGTTTTGGGTACTCTTTCTTGTTCTCTCATTCTCTTGTCCCAGAGCAGGACATTTGCCCCTCTGCTAGCTGCCTGTTGAGATACCCACATGGCAAGGAACTGGAGAAGGCCTTTGGCCAATGGCCAGTGAGGAACTGAGATCCTTGGCTCAATGACCTACCAGGAACAGAACCCTGCCAACAACCACATGAGTGAGTTTGGAAGCACATTTTCCCTTGGTTACACCTTCAAATGAGATTGCAGCTCCATCCAGCAGCTTGACCATAATCTCACGGCAGAGTCTCAGCTAGAAGCATCCAGGTAAGTGGCACCAGACTTCTCATTTACAGAAAATGTGACATAAAAAGTGTTGTTTTAAACCACGAAATTTGGGGGGTAATTTGTGATACAGCAACAGATAATCAGTACAGACATTCAAATGAATATTTGTGCTTGGAGCTTAAGGGAGAGGTCAAAGGTGGAGTAAGTGTTTAGGAACCTTTAGTATATGATGGCACTTAAAACCATGGAGCTGGATAAGATGATTATAGTAGGAACAGTGATCGGAGGAGAGCAGAGCTCTGAGGAGTGGGCCTTGGGGCTTGCCAGCATTCAGGTCTGGCCAAAGGAGGGAAATTTAGCAAAGCAAATGGGCATGAAGATGCCAAGGCGAAAGGAAGAAGAGCAGAAGAGTGTGGTGTCGGGAGTCAGGAGAAAATTGTGTCAAGGCGAGAAGTCTGTGCTGTGTGAGTTCAGTTAAGGTCAATACCTCTGAGAAGTGGCCATTGACTTGGACTACAGGGAGTTGGTTGGCAACCTGGACCAGCAGCTGGAGTGGAGCAGGAGCCCAGTTGGAGAGAACTGGGGAAAGCAGGGAGCAGGGAGGTAATTGTGTTCCTGAATAGGCATTAGGAGGTGTGTCCAAAAAATATGGACTTTCCTTTTCAATTCCACTAAAACCGTTTACTTTCCTGCGGTCTCTGGAGATGGGAGGCAGGAGAAGAAGACAAAGGGCTGAGTAGAGGGTGGTGTCAGGGAACTTGATTGACAAAGCTGAAGCAAGTTTGATGGCAGAGCCAGGGGGCTCATGTGGTTTACATCCTATTTGGGTTAATTAGTTAATGAAATCGCTTTTGCAAAATTATGATAAGAGAAATCTGACATGGTTGACTCCATCTTGCTTCTAGTCTCACAGGCTGGCTGTCTTCACTCATTATTGGGCTTAGTCCAAGCTAACTTCAGGAAATATTTAGTTTATAGTATAAATGATAATAGGCCTTCCCCAAAACTCAACCACCTTTCTAAAGTTAATGAAAGGCCACGAGATTAAGAGGATGTGAGGAGCCAGAATTCTGCTAACGTGTAGACATAAACCATTACCAGTCATTATTCAGGAAGTCACAAGATATGCAACTTTCCCAATTACTCCTGCGGATAACATCACTATTGTAGATCTTAAAATTGGCCATTTGATTTATCTTTTCAGGTTTCTGCATTTCTGACTACCGATGGCTCTACCTGGACCTTCCCTGACCTAACTTGTCCTGTGGCCCCCACCCAGAAGTAGAATCCCTGGCTTACCAAACTATCCTTGAAAAACCCTAGCCTCCAAATTTTCCGAGATTGATTTGAGTAATATCTCTCTCTGCCATGTGGTGTGGCTGGCCTTGTGTCTATTAAACTGTTTCTTTCTTGCAATGCCACTGTCTGGTTTTGTCTGTGCAGTGGGCAAGAAGAACCCATTGGACAGGGGCATTAAGATAGTTTCTTTGAATTGTCTGAACTAGAAATCTATCTTTCAGCCATTCAACACTCTGCACAGGGACTCTGCCAGGCAGTGATGATCCATCATCAAGTCAGACATCATGCAAAGGGGAGAGAACCCAGGGTCAGAGAATCAGAGACAGACGATTTCATAAACAGTGTAGGACCTGTGAGTAGTCCAAGTGTAACAGAGGCGCATTCTGGCACTAAGGGAGAGAGAGAGGGCCCAAGCTTGCTGGAGGGTGTGAATGAAGACTTCCTGGAGGAGGTGGCCCCTAGTGGCGCTTAAAGACCTTGTGGTTATTGTGATTATCAAATATTCCAGGCCTCTTCCTGCTCTGCCCTCCAACCCCACCTGCTATTTCTCCTCCAACTCTTCCCTTCCAAGTTGCCCACTGCTGTCCAGCTTTTCCCTTCCCCAAACATCTCTCCTTTCTCCTTCCAGTTATCTCCCTTGCCCTCCCCCTTTCCTTTCTCCCTCCTCCCTTCTCCACCAGCCTCCACTGCTCTTTTCTCCCCTTTCCCTCCCCTTCCCTGGCCCAGGATGAAAGCCCTTCCGCAGCCTCCCAGCCGATGAATTATGCATGCCCTTCAGCGGGTGTGCCTGGCATCCAATTAGGGCCTTGGCCAGGTTGATCACTTAGACAGATTAAAATGTAATTCATTGGGGTTGACATTTAAGCCCCAGTGTGAATGGCAGTGAGGAGAAGCAAATGCTCTCAGGGTACCTGGTGTGTATTTGGGGGTGGGGGAGGCTGTCTGCTACCTGTACTTGCTTAACTAATTCCAGCCTGGAGTAATGTCAGTATGCACACTGGGCCTCTGATGCACAGTGGAAAGGGGGAAAGGCCCAAGGCAGGCTTTGAGCCAAAGCAGGCTTTAAACAATCAAAAAACTTTTTATTTAGAACTAATTTGAGATTTACGCAAGAGTAGTGATATTAGTACAGAGAGTTCCCATATGCCTGTCACTGAGCTCTCCCTAATGTTATCATCTTACGTAACCATGGCACAAGGATCAAAACTAAGAAATTGATGAGGGCACAATACCATTAACTAAACTACTGATGTTTTTCCCATTTCACCCAGTTTCCCACTCATGTCCTTTTTCTGTTCCAGGATCCAGGCCAGCAGCCCACATTCTAAAGCAACCCTGTGGGATCGCGCCTCTCCAGGGACAGCAATTCCTCCTTGCTCCTCAGACCAGCAATTCTCAAACTTTAGGGTCCAGAGAGTTATTAGCGATTTTGTTTAAAGGGCATGTCCTTCCCTAGACATTCTGATGGAGCGAGTCTTAGGTAGAACCCTGGCATATGCTTAACAAGCATCCCCAGCCAGACACACACCTCCAGCTAACTGGCTGATTCCTGGATTCTTTGTAAGTCAGATCTCAACTTGTAGATTTCCTTCATCCCCTGGCTTAGCCTCAGAAAACAGCAGTGTTACCCCCACCACCAGCTACTACCAGACCCTGGGGAGATGGCTGGATTAACACAAAATCCTGATTTTGACCACTGGGTCAGACACATCATCTGCCAGGCCTAACCCCCTGGTTAAATCCTACTTGAAGAGGAGAGAAAGTGACATTTACCTGCCAGTCACAGATACATACGTATTTTCATGTAGTCCAAAGAGTAACCTCTGTAAGTAGATACTATTTCCCTATCTTATAGGTGTGGAAACTGAAAAAAGTGATATTAAGGGTAGGGGTGCCAGATTTTGCAAATAAAAATATAAGAGCCCTAGTAAAAGTTGAACTTTAGATAAGACAATTCTGGAGACATACTTACATTCTTAAAAGTTGTCATTTATTGGAAATTCACATTTAACTGGACCTCCTGTATTTTATCTTGCAGCCCTGATTAAGTGATAAGTCTGTGGCTGCAGAGCTAGTCAGTAGGCCCGGATGTGGATCTTATTCTGATGTCTACAGCACAGGATACCCTGTGCTCGACAGCTCAATGCCTGCCTCACCTAGTGAGCTGCAGCAACATGAGGTGGGAGCTGTATGGATTTGTTTCCTGCTGTATCTCCAAGGCCCGGTACCATAGGGCAGTAGACACTTAATAAATATTTGTGAAATAAATGAATGACTAAATGCATTCATACTCTCTTTGTACCAGGGAAGGCTGCAGATGATGATGATTAAACAGAAAGGCTGAGCTGATGAGGTTTAAACCACCTTTGCAAAACTATAAATTATAACTGAGGAAATTAGGACAGTGAAAGAAATCAGACCTAACTAACTCCATCTTGCTTCTAACCTTTAAGCTGTCCTTGCTCATTCCTGGGTATAGGCTGAACTAACTTCGGGAAGGGATTCAGTTCATGCTTTGACTCTGAAACAAAATGGATAATAACCCTTTCCCAAAAGACCCTCTTCTTGCCTGGGGACCAGTTTGCAGGACTAACAAATTAGCTACAGATTAGAAATCACAGTTTAGGGGTCATGCAACTTCGGGCTCCAAGATTCTGAACCTTCCCAAATTGCTCCTGGGGTAACATCCCTAATGTAAAACCTAAGATCAGTGCTTGAGATATTTTGCAGACTCTGCACTCCACGGATCAGCTGACACCACCCAGACCCATAATCTGGCTCAACCAGTTCTGCCATCCTACCCAGGAACAGAGACAGCAAGAAAACCTCACTTCCACCCCCTGTGATTCCATCTCCAAGCTGACCAACAGCACTCCCCACTTTCCAAGTTTCCACCTGCCAAATTATCTTTAAAAACTCTCATCCCCAAATGCTCATGGAAATTGGTTTGAGTAATAAAAAAACTCCAGTCTTCTGCACAACTGGCTCTGCCCTGTGTGAATTACTCTTTCTCCATTGCAATTCCTCTGTCTTGATAAATCTGCTCTGTCTAGGCAATGGGCCAGGTGAACCCAGGGTGGATATAAGGGCTGGGTGATAAAACTGCCTCTAGGTAGGCAAGAGGAGTTGGAGGTCTGTGGCCTCATCCCCACACCTGGGGGCTCAGTTCTTCCACGCTGAAAAATGGCAAAGAGCCCTTTTTGTCTCCACCTCTCAGGACCTCTGGTTTCTCAAAGGTGAAATGGGATTGTGTCTCTTCCAGCTCTAGGCTTCTGTGAGTCTATGATTTTTACTTCCTTAACCCCTCCCTCTAGTAGGTAGAGAACATGGCCAGAGTAGAGAATTTGCTGCTGAACACGGCACATCTCCTTCCCAGGTCACTATTTCTTCTCCTTTGTCCTCTCCTTTCCCCTGCTTGTTCTCTTCCTCCTCTTCCTCTTCTGCTTCTTTCTCCTTCTCCTCCTCCTCCATGTCTTCATCCTCCATCTCATTCTCCTCCTCCTCGACCTCCTTTTCCTATTCCTCCTCCTCCTCCTCCTCCTTCATGACAAATTTCTGAGCACCCCCTTGGTGCCTGGCCTTGCATTTTTTTCTTCCTCGAATGCTCCCTTCCACCCTAGCAGACAAAATCAGAAGCCCAGAGAGACCTGGCACAGCACAGTTCCTCACAGACAAGGAAAGACGTTGGGAGCGCATTGTGTCTTTTAAAATAGACCTGTTGTCGTCGGAATGTATTTTTAGCCATGGGAGAGACTGGCATGCACTCAGTGCCACCATCTGCCAAAGGCAGTTGCTAGGCAACTGACACTGACGACAGCGAGGAGATGACTTCATGGAGGATCTGGGGACCCTGGTGGCCCAATCCCGCTTCCCTGTCTAATGCCTGCATGCCAACAGTCAGGCCCATGAGAATACACGCTCCTCTCCTTCTGGGAGGGGTGGGGAGTTGATGCAAGGCCTGTGAGCTGAGTACATTGGTTGCTGCACAGGTAACAAGGGACACTGGACCATTACTATCACTATGACAGTAGATTTTCTATTTAGAAACTTCAGATGCAACTGTGGTCTAAGAATACACATTCCTTTCCCTTGCAGACCCATAGGTACTGGTCTGAGTCCAGGCAGGAGCTGTTTGGAGGTAGTTGGCCCAGAGGAGGCTTCATATACAAAGAGCAGGTCAGTGGCCAGGACCCTAGATTATGGCCCAGTTCTGTATTTTGCTCTCTTTGTGAGTTGGGTGAGTCTTTTCCCTTTCGTGGCGCTCCCTTTTTGTCACCTTCCAAGAAGGGATACTATACCAGATAAAATACAATTATGGTAATAAAAAACAGAATAAGCACATAATAGAAAACCTGTAAGCCAGATCTGGGTTTGCTCATGTGATACTTCAGGTAAGATACTGAAATTCTCAGTGCCTTCCTCTCTTCATCTGCAAACAATAGTAGTAACACTTTCATTGTGATGTGAGAATTAAACAAAGCAGCACATGAAAGACATGCACCTTTGTTTCGGAGTATTTTGGAGCACAATAAATGGGTGAGTATTACTCAAATTCTGTAGCAGAGATGGTATGCTGTCCACCACGATCATTTCTCCTCGTCCTTATTAATAGACTTTAAGCTGGGCGTGTTTCCAGTCTCCCTTGTAGCTAAATTCTCACCAAAGGCATATGAAAGGAAGGGATGGGGGCAGCCTCTATTTCACTCACAGGAAAAATGTTTCCCTGAGTATCTTCTTTTCTCCTCTATCTAAGCCAGAGCATAGATATACCAGAGCATAGATATACCTGGGACATAGTTTGACCATGCAGAGCAGGAGGACATGTGGGGGCTGGGGCAGAGCAACAAGATGGAAGGGACCTGGGGCCGCTCTTGTCTTAATACAGTTTGTGAACTAAAAAGAGGACTGAGTGAATGTAATTTGCCTGGGAGGCATGAGCACTGGCAGATGAGTGGAGAGGGGTCAAAGAGAAGGAAAAACAGCCACAGTGTGGATGACAAGAGCTTAATCTCACAGGGAAGCTCTGGGGAATAGTGTGAAACAGCGTGTAGGGCTGGCCAGGGAGTGAGGAAGTGGGAGCAGTTTTACACAGTTTTACCCTGACACCCATCAGACCC